GCACCCTTGTTTGTCGTGCAGATTACGCAGCTTAGCTCGCGGGTGACCACGCTTCGCTGCAAATATTTGCCATCACAAAAAAAAATATTCAAAAATAATACCAATTAACATTTTATTTAAATAGGACTTAATATTGAAAGACATTTAATGGAATACATTTTCTGTTTACCGAAACCAAATTGCTTATAATTGGAATTTGTACTGGACAAGACCGAGCGCAAAATAGCGCCAATGATTCACTCCTGACCACAACAAACCTACTGATTGTATTTAAAAATGGAAGCAAAATAAAGCTATTTTTAGTATAACAATGATGTATCTTTACCGCATTGCACCGGTTCAAACCAGAACACTCCCAGCGAAAGGCTTAAAAAAGTAAAAACACCTAGGCGTGGTCAGGCCATAAGTCCTGATTAAGGCTAATGGTGGAAATGGTCATGCTGCCCGAGAGGGGAGGCATATGGCGCCCAGGGGAGGGGGCTCGTACCATTAGATGGTCATCACTGGCCAGGTAAAACCTCTGTACTACATAGCAAGCTCGCTTTTTGTATCCCAAAACGCGTTGAATAGAAAATTGGATGACATTACTGCGGAACGTTTTGCTGATTTTATTTTTATGGTTTTTTTTTGTCATTTTCGCATTTTTCTGTGTACTCGTTAGGATTCAATTATTACTTATTCGGAGAAAATTGGTGAGTGAATGTAAAACATTTTCTGTTTAATAATTTATTATTTTCAATAGAAACATGGCCGACTGTTAGACACACAGACAGATAAAGGATGAAACTTTGATCTGATTTGCTACGGACGATTTAGAAAGAGTTTTCAAAAGGGTTCTGCCGAACAAAGTCACGGGCAAAAGGGATGTTTGTACGAATTCTCAACGCGTTTGTGTTGCAACGGACAGTCAGACGTGCCGTACAAATTTATGATCCGTACGGAAAATTTTCGTTGTATTTTACGGAATCCCTACGTACGATTTATGTGCGTCTGTGTCGTATAAAATATGAGTACGTTTTTACGATGCAACGTTATTGATCGAATGGGTTTTACTTGATCTATTTTTATTTTTCATTTTTTTAAATCTGGTTTTGTTCGTGGCACGCACATCCTCTATGCGTATGAATCCTGTACGTCTACCTATCAAATGTAGGTATATTTTTTAACTGAGATTATATATAATATCGAGACATTCTTCACGTGAGACGTGCTTCTAAATTGGTTCATCTGCATCTCTAAAGTTATCCAACAACACAGATCACCGCCCAGTTCAATACGAATCGAAATGCAACGAACTAAAATCCGAAATGAAATCAGCCGTCGAATTCACAAACGGGAAAACCTGTAGAAACCCAATTAGTGTTTAAATTCAATCTAGTTCTAGCATCTAGTTGGGCGCGCGGCCCGGGCTCCGTGTCAGGGCATAATGCGCCGTCCGTGGCTCAGCATAACGCTAATCCTCCAACGGGTTCGATTCTCGAGCACGTACGACGGTATTTAGTTAGAAACCGTCCTTCACCGGTCACGTATCACTGTTTGTTCTACCGATTCTATTAATTCTACGTTTTTATCTGTGCTCTCTATCGCCTCGCTCGCTTAGGTGTGCTCACGTTTTACGACTGTAACGAAAGCGTCCGGTTCTAACACGGCCTTTGAGGTTTTTGTTCGAAATTTCTCGTTACAGAATTACCATCAGCAGTTTAACGTACATTGCTCCTTTTGTCAGCACATTCTGTTACAGATATTGAAAGTGCACCAGTGAATGGACGCTACAAAACGCATTATTTATTCCCAAGAATCCTCTCTTAAGCTCGTTATGCAACTGCACTGATCCAATATTCACAGATTAAAAACCACCCTCCTTTACATCTGTTATAATTTAAAATAAACTGCGCGAATCGAATCGGCCATCTAAACCGTACCCTCGCAGGCGGTGCAGTTACGAAACGCAGATTTCAATGTTTTATGACGCAGCCAATTTTTCGTGAACTCCCCCGACCTGCTGAGCTCATACTCTAGAGAGCTGTTGAGGGGGAGTAGTGGGTGATGCCTGGGACCATAGCATAATGGTCATGTTTTATAACACGGCCCCCCCGCATTAAGGCGCGGGCCGCGTATAAAACGCGTAATAGAATTTCAGTGACGACTGCCACCCTTGATAGCGCTTCACTTTACTGCCCATGTAACGATGTTAACGCCGCGCATGCGCCCAGCAGCCGCCGCGAGTTATGTCAAAGCCCAAGACGTGACAATGGCAACATTGTGACAAGGATTATAATTTTGCCGCGTTTCTAAGGAATATTTCGTGTGAACATATTGCTGGGAATTTCCGGCAGCAATTTTGCTCAGGCGAATTAATTTTGCCAGATTAATGATCAAATTAAACTTTATACCTTTTTAGTCTTAATCAAAATGGTGCGGAATTACGCTCTACAATGTTACCACCCTGCATAATTACCCAATGCGCAACGCTTTGTAAAAGAATATAAAACAGGGGAAGTGTGCGTCCCAGATAGGAATTCGATTTTAATGTTCCTCTATACAAACAAAGCAAAAGTTTGCCACCCCTATTCGATTAATCCTTACTACCCGCACATTTCCCAAGAAACATCACACAAACAACTGACTACACAAGATGACCGTTCCCGCCAATCAGCGCGTCCAAACTTTTCCCAGCAGAGGCGTTATGTCCAAACCACCAATGGGGGAGGTTGGCGCCCTCATTGTTATCCAATTACGGCCTCCCGCCTGATAATACGCCGCGAATTCAAATTAGGACCGGGGAGAGCGGTCGCCGACCCCGCTCTGATCAATCGGTGACCGCGCCCGGCATCGATATGTGGACTCGATCGTCGCACGCGATACTTAATCGATTCCCGCGAGCGATTTTTGTAAATCGAGCTCCGTTTTGATTGGGATGTGATTTGTGAGTGTCGGAGCTGTTAAAAATGGCGGAGTATTTTTTATCTGTTGAAGAGTTGGTAAAGCGAACGAGCTACTAGTGTTCAGCAACATTTTCGTTGGACTTAAGATACGGACTGTATTTGTTTGACTAATAAACATCCACAGTTTGACATAGCTGTTTAAAAAGGCTTCAATATATCCTTTATTACTCTTTGGTCTTATGCTGCACCAACAATGCGCACTAACAACTTTCCCACAATTCCTGACATTAACACTGAAAGAATAAGCAGGTCACATGATTGGCATTAATGACCAAACCATTTAAAATTATTGAGAAAATGTCTGTTCAAATACGAAGTCTTATTAAACACAAATTAAAATCTTTCGGTATAATTAAGCAATAATTTCGATACAGCGTGTGGGAGCCTGCAATATGGCGACTGAACAAGTTTGACGTTTAAAATTGGACAATGCAAACGAGAATTACAAGAACCACCCACCACAGCTAGTTGTTTGGTCAGACTTCTTCGTGTCACGCTAATTTTGGGTGGAGCATAATTTTAAAGACGGACGTTATGATGATTTTTAATAATGCATTTTATTTAATAACTATACTCGTTAACCTCAACGCAAGTGACTGATTAGTACAGGGACGGACTTGTGGATGTTACGAAAATGAATACGAATCTTTTCACGATAAATAAAATTACATATTATGCCAAATTAAATGAGCTATTTAAAATGATTAATATGTATACATATAGTTGAAAAATATGAAATATTTTTTTATTAAGGAAGTTACATACTACCTATCCTTCTTTCTTTCCTAACCACAACACCACAGCAGTGATATGTCCGGGAAGGCATAACGGAGCATTACACAACTCGGGAATACTTCCCACGGTGACCAGTCAATCCAGCTCCACTGGATTACTGCGGTTTTTGTTGCCAGCCAGCATTTTCATTCTTTTTTTAATTTTAAGTATTGTAACCAGTTACAATTTTTTTAATGACAAATTAGTTTCAAATTAAGTTTCGAACATTCGCTAAGATTCTATTTTTATGTTCATGTTATATTTATGTTTCGTTATATTTATATTTAATTTAATAACATGTTATATTTAAGATTAAAATGGCAACGTATTTTGCCAGTAGTTCCCACCAAAGTTCCCCATGTGGCGCCAGCTACCGGTATTCACACACATGTACCATTTATTATTAAAGCTGCGGTTTTCCCGGCACTTTCCATCAATGCCTATTAATGATAGATGGGAACTATGAGTTACTAGCTATGACTCAAATTGGGATCGAGTTGACGCATGTCGCTTTTAGTAATATCGATGTATAGGTATGGCGCCAGTTTGGTACTACAGACACTTATGTATTGTTTACAGTTATGCCTTAGAACTTGGAATAAATATAAGCGTAATGATGAGAAAAAGAAAATGTATTGCAATTTCCCAAGTTTTTTAGAAGCAACGGTTCCGAATTTCACGCCTGAGTCATATTTTTCTACTAAAACGTTGACTCACGTGTGTTCTATACTCGCTTTTAGCCTTTTATTTGTATTGATCTTATTTAATTATTTCTAAGCTTACCGTACAAAGTCTTTAGTTAACCAGAAGTATATACTAATGTAAGTTGCTTTCCTCTTTTACAATAGAATAGATGACAAACTTTTATTATAATGTCCGTCTTGTAGATTATTTTAAAACATTAGACAAGTTTTTTTTATTTTCTTACTAAACTAAATACTTTCGACAGTATGTTGATTTGAAATATCGCGTGATGTCACTTCTAGGTACGTAGAAATGACGTTTTCGCTCCCACTCTTAAACTATGATTCGTTGTATCTAAGTATTGTTTTATTAAATTATTTTTTTATTATACAACAAAATAAAAAATACGTGTCTAATATTTTTTCAATACCTAACCGACGGACTAATTCGATTTTTAACTTTAATACCAATTCAACGATTTGAATCTAAAGACGGAGGTTTTTAGAATAAAATCGTGGTGATGTGATATTAATGACGTGTCTATTTAATAATATTAACAATAAGGATTTATTTTAATAATTTTGTTATTTGTTTCAGGTAAGTCGGGGTTTGCCAATGATATCACAATGTCCTTCCTGTTATTAAACGGTCGGTAAGTTTGAGCTGTGTGTAGGGGGTAAACCATTAGCAGTGATAACAGTTAAATGCTATATATCATACAACGTGATATGGTTAAAACAATAGCGTGTACTAAGTACCTATGTATGGACGAAGCCGTATGACAACGGCAGAGAAAAATAGGTACTTACATTTTTCTTATACTAGCTTCAAAAAAATCACGGGACGATCTCCGACCACCGTAAGCGCGAGCCTGCGGACGAGCATGGGTGGCTCCCCGTCCGACCAAAAACAGACCCGAGCGTACGGCGCGTCGCGTTCAGCGCGCGCCTAAAAGAGCCATCACATCACCTCAGATGGGGATTGGGGCCCAACAGGGCCGATGCCGATTCGGAGTCGCGGAGAACCTAACGGGTTACCGGGGCTCCGGCTCGACGTGCAGGAGAAGGAACGGAGTGGTTTTTAGTCAGTAAGAGTCTGACACACCCTCTCACCCTGGCGGGAGAAGTCATTGGCTGATTTTCGCTTCTCGAAAAAAAAAGGTGTCATGTGTGTTTCCCATAACGTAACACCATGACTGTTACTTTATGTTAATTAGTTTTAACTATGTAAGTAACAGTAAGTTGTGCCAGTACACTTCGCCCCTCATTAGGTACTTATTTTTGAAGAGTTCATACTAATTTAGTAACACTACTGATAAGATTTTCAGATATAGTTAGGTACTTGTACTTAGCCTGTAGGATATAAACACGATATGACAAATAAATAAGAATCCGACTTCCGCTAAACAAAATAATAATATGCATCATAAACAAAGGAAGTTTTGAAACTACCAAACAAAAAGATTAAAATACGCGCAAAATAAAATAAATAGACAGCGTACAGAGTTCATTGTCTTCAAAATAAATAATGTGAACGTTGCCATTGCCCGCGCAAAAAATTCACTAAGGTTATTTACGCAACTGGCAACACTTTTTATCGAAAAATTGAATTGTTCGCACGTATTGTAGGCTGCGTATTATCGACGGAATTAGACACACAATGATAAAATATTAACAATGAGGAAGATTTATACTGAGTATTGACCTTACGTCTATGTACAATCATTTTATTATGTGAATATGTGTAGCTATGTACCTACGTGCATTATGTCATACAAATAATTTTATAGCTATTCTTTGCTAAACAAGTCGTAATCAAAAATATAGCTCCATGTAATAGGGATGTGAAAGTTAAAAATGTAAGAGACGTTTTTTTTATTTTGTCATATAAGAACAATACTTAGATAAAACCAAGTCAAAGTTTAGGAGTGGGTGCTAACTAAGTAATTCTTGAGTATAAATCGTACTCAAAGGTGACGTCACGCGATATTTCAAATCAATATTATTATACTATCGAAAGTATTTGTTTACGTAAGATTTTTTTTAATAAGGAGTACTTGTTTATTTAATTTTTCATTTATAGATATTATAAAAATTTATTAATTAATGTGCGTAATATTTTAAAATAACGTACCACGCGGACAATAAAATAAAAATTAGCCATCAACACTATTCTACTTTTAATTTAATTAATCTTCTTCTATACAGTCAGCAGCAATCGTTTTCTTTAACACTAAAATAAATAAATTATTGTAGTTGCAGATTAAGAATAAAAAATCAACCACACACTACATTTTTGGAAACAATCCCATTATAAACTATACTCTTGATTCAATAATTATGTAGTGATACTTTCGGTTACTCGATCAAAGTGTTCCAACTTCTCAACATTCCTCCACATGATTATTCAACGACAACTTGACGTCAGCTGCGACCATTTAGAAGCCTATCCCTTTTTCCAGTAAGAACTGACGTAATGTCTTTGATAATCAGCTATTACGATACAACGGGCGATTGCTATCCGTTGCTGGGACGTTGCGTCGCGGTCGCCACCCTGAACTACTCACATCTGGCCCGCATTGTGCGTCGGCCTGTTTTTTACTACCTCCTTTACTTGACCAAGCAGGGCTGTACTTGGAAACTTTCGTGATTCTAATTGGAATTTCGGATTGTCAGATCAAAATCGTCGCTGTCCAGATATATCGTCAATAATAAAAGAAACTCCAAATTAGAAAGGATATTTCAAATCCCGATCGGAATCATCGGTAAAGTTTAACAATACAAATCTTCCGCTGTGTTAGTTTCTAATAGACATCTTATTTGTTAATTTAAAATATCCGAGATTAAGCAGTTATGGAACAATCAATTTCAAGCATCAAAACTTTTTATTGTTGTGCTATCAACGTTAAATGCGAGCCGTTATGGGTAAAACTTTCGAATCACGAAACAAGCCCTTATTGCAAGCCATACCTAAACTATTAGTGTCGACAGTCAATTGCACGATCTATTCACCGGCAAGATTTTGAAACGACCTCGTCCGTAACTTATAAAACCACAAAAAAACGAGCCTTGGTATTCAACACTAAAAAGACCATTACAAAAGTAAAGAAAGCTGTAGTTTGAGTACAGTTAACAAATTGAGAACAAAACCTTGTCCTCCAAACTAGCGTGCAGGTCATTAAAATGTTGAAGTAATCTTGAGTATCTCAAATTTAATTGATCATAATATTATACCCATTTAAAAACTAGTGAAAATTGAACAAAAACAGGAATTTGATTACACATCACTGCAAAATGCGACGCTATATTCGCTCTCATCCCTAAGTACGGCCCATGACCCTGCCGTTGCATGGTAAAAAGCATTTGCAAGCAATAAATTTGTACGTCCGGGAAATTATTTAGCATGCGGCTAACGTGTGCTTGTAACGTTTTGCCGCGTTAAACCACCATTTAATGGAAACGTGTGTCACTGGAGGGAAAAAATGACAGCTGTCATGCGGGCGCACCGCCATTACGGAGACTTTGGCGGGACATAAATACAATTGAGTCGTCAACCTCTGTCTTGATTACCTGATTAACATGTAACATAATGAGTACATTAAGAACTTACTTGGTTATATAAAACCTTCATTTAAATTACTGCGTCGCTGGCATAAAAGCAATTTAAAACGCGCTTATTGTTTTACAGAAGAACATAGTTTCGTGCATCGATTCCAAGTCGATTGCACACACACTTGCTAACATTTCAAAGCCACACAGGTTTAACAAGATTCCTTCGAAACTCGACATTCAAGTAAAGACAATATCGTCAATATCCGAAAGCAAACATGGCGCCCATAAAGATGCGTTCAAACGTCGCTTCAGAACAAAGGGCACGTTCAGAATACGTGTTAAGTGCTAATAGATTTCCGGCACCTGTAAGGCAGGTGTGTCAGCGATTGCGATTCGGAACGCAACCGACACGCCTACACGCGATATTGGATTTTCGGTGCGTAGGACGCCCTTTGATGTACGCTTAGGGCGTGTTAATGTAAAATATTTTTAAAGGCAATAGTGTATTCAGTTTCAGCTAGCGTTACATTACCAAACCGACATTTGGGAGCCGAAAATAGTCAAGGACTGAATGCGAAACTATTTAACAAAACGCAAAAAGGATAACAAGAGATTAAATTATACATTGTAATTTAAATGAAGCAGAAATACCAGAACAATAATGTAACATAAATAAATAATAATATATTTGAAATATGTATCAGGCCAGCGGAAATATCCATTATTGCTAAACTACTTTCGAAATCAACAAAATCATCAAAATCGACGGTGCAGTTTCCGAGATACGACACGACACCAACACCCAAACAAACTTTCACTTTTTAACAACGTTTAAAGCCTATGCTGTGAGAATTATGATAATTTACTTATATTGAACTAAGCATAAGGGAATGGAAGAATATTTTGAGCTCATAAAGAATACCGAAGGGGCTCACGAATGGGATGACTTGGACTCTTTACTTGGTGAAAGTAATTGCAGGATGCAGTATTCTTAATGCTGGATTGTATAGCCTAAATGGAAGCTGATGATAAACGTTCCTTTGCCAGAAGTCCTTAGCTTAAAGATTAAGACTTATGGCTAGATAACGTTGTTTATGGCCGCTCCAAGAGCCATGAGTCACACTGACGACGATTTTAAAAACACCATACACATTACATTTTTTATTTCATGCTAGCTGATCTGACAAACTTCGTACCGAATATTTTTTTGTTGCAACCTTTTTAAACCCTTCCCTGGACTTTTACCAATATTTCGAGCCCAAAATTAGCCAAATCGGTTCAGCCTTTTTCGAGTTCTAGCGAACGCAACGGTCAGTCACGAACGTAAATTCATTTTTTATTTATGAGACGATAAGTAAAAGTAATAAATACTATATAACTTACTTTCCAATGGCTTAAAAACCTGGATAAAATGGCTCGATTTTACTAATTGTATACCTACCTAAGCAACAACTATTAATAGCTTCCCCTCAGAAATATTAAAATAATATTACGCAAAAGAACATGAAATATAAACTAAAGCAATATTACATAAGTGTTATTTAGGAATGTGTTGTTTATATTGTTGGCGTCATTAACGTATATATTTGTAAAACCTCGAAAAATTCGATTTCGAGACTGATTCATGATAGCACAAGTTTAAACCTTAGCGGATTTTGGTTGCTATTTTAAATGGATAATCCTGTACTTATTGTAAATACGATAAACAAATAAAAAGAAAAGATATCCTTTTTCATAGAAGTTCTACATATCAGCAACTAAGATATATTTTTTGCCGTAAACTAAAGATAATGTTATCCATCGCCTTGATGGCATTGCTCGGCGTTCCAACACCGATGGGAAATAACACTGCTGGCCCCATAGGTCTTATACCAGGTTTCTTATGCCCAAGATAAACAGGCTGTAACCACATGCTTGCATGCAAATATGATGAGAAACTAGATTGTGTGGTTGCTGACATTTCTACGTAGAGTTTATTGCAAGTACTTGTAATAATTTTGATCGTTGGTGTGACTTATTTGTTAAATGAATTTCTTGTTGGAAATTAGTAAGATTCAGAACACTGGTATCTGCACTAGCATGATCTTGATCTTCATC